CTCTATTCTACTCTATTCTACTCTATTCTACTCTATTCTACTCTATTCTATTCTATTCTATTCTATTCTAGATTTTTTTACCTTAGTTTTTAAGGCAACATGTATACCGTAACATACAAGTTATTTTATTTTGAGTGGCTTTGAATAGGTCAAAAAAAAAAAAAAAAAACATTTATCTAGTGTGGTCCTGCGATTTACACCATAACTTGCACTTTGTTAATAGAAATATGTAGACCTTTTTTTCCTTTTCTTTTCTTTTTTTTTTTTTACAACTTATTCGGTTTATTTCGGGACTGCTTATAGAATTCATTGGTTGGTTGTCTCATCTACTGGGTTTGTTTTTATTGGCCAGCCGAAGCTAAGTGCTTGGATTATTGTTTTTGGCTCGTAATCACTAATCATCATTACTTTTACTTTTCTTTGCTTTTAGTTGCTTTTGTTAAATGATTTGTGTATAGATATATCTTCTTAAAAGCATGATAAACCCTTTTTCCCGATCTGGCAAGCGTAGTATATAGACCCACCTATAAAACCGAGTACTACTGGTTTTAGTTAGCTGTTATTAACTGAGCTTAGTCGGTCTGTATGGGAAAGCCAAGGTCAATATTTTCCCATACAGACCGATTAAGCTCGGTTAATAAGATATTTAGTATACGGCAAACAAGAACAGTTTAATTGGTTAATGTAACTGGTTTGTACTAGCTGGCAGTTTGCTTACGAACGGCAATGAGCTGAACTTAATTCTGCCAAAGACTTAACGTCCTCTTTACTTTTTTTCTCATCAGCCTTTTTGGCACTTCGATAAATAAATGTTGTTAGAAGAAAACAATCAATATTTTTTGCATTTTAGTATGCAACTTTTTCACTTGAAAACATTAGCGGTCTAGATGCCGGTCTAGGTGGAAAGATCTAGACCGTTTTCAACGTCGATTTCGGCCAATCAAATTCGCGAACTCGGTAGTTCCCAGTCCTTGAGAGACACAGCCATATAGTAATAGATTATATTATGCCCTTTTTCAAAGTAACACGACTGAACGATCCACAGTACCTTCCATACATCACATATTATATCCCGTATGGCCGCCGAGATTACATGTCGTTTGGCCATACCGGTGGTAATGTTGGCCAACAAGGAACTAACTCGGGGAATGTTGCTGTCGGACATCAATGGAACGCTGGATATTATGGCCGACGAGGTGGGTTCCTACTTCTTGCACATGTAAATTTATGGAAACTAAAGTAAAGATCTTTATTAGTACAGCAGGAGACTTTTTTCCTTCCTTTTTAAGGCGACATGCATACCGTAATATACAAGTTATTTTCTTTTAAGTGGCTTTGAATAGATTAAGAAAACATTTATCTGATGTGATCCGGCTATTATATCAAGACTTGCACTTGTCAATGGGAAAAAAAAAACCCTTTGTTTGAAAACCAATTTGGTTTATTTCTCGGTTGCTTGGAATTCATTGGTTGGTTGCCTTACCTGGATTTGTTTTAATTGGCCAGTCCAAATGATTGGATTATTGTTTTCGGCTCGTAATTAAAAATAGTTCCAAATTATCAGATCCTTATGACTTTCACTTCTCTTAGCTTTTAGTTGCTTTTGTTCTCGTTAAGTCCATGAAAACTCTTTTTTCCCGATCTGACAAGCGTAGTATATAAACCTACCGATAATAACGGGTTTTAGTAACTTATTTTATGCTCTTTGTTATAGAAACACGACTGAACGACCCACAGTTCTATCCGGCCATTCCATACATCCCATACATCCATTATCGCAAACGTCAGACTTCGTCTCAAAGCACAAGAATTGTAGGAGGAAAATAAATGCAGATTCCTCTCCTGGACATGCAGGAAGAATTAATTGTAAAAGAGTGAGACAATAAAGAGTGACTTCCTGTAAATACTACGGATAGGTGTGCAAAATGCAAAAATCGAATTCCCTCAAACTTTTTCACAAGAAAGCCCTCTGGAAACTATTTAGGAAAATAAAACTTTTAGGTCGTTTGGATTTATATTTTTCAAGTAAAGCGATTTTTTAATTTTCACCCTTGGAGAAGCCCTCTAACCTCTGAAAAAAGTGCTTCGTATTTGCGACTCGTGTAAGAAAACTAAAAAAAAATATCAAATCTATTTGGATATTACACAATTCAATGACCCTTCCTTTACAAAGTACAGATATTAGAATTGGAAAAGATTCAAACCTGAATTTTTAAAAAATTTTCAAATTTACCCTCCTAAACAGCATT